CAGAGAACTGAGCTCTACAAGAAGCAGGCACTGGTGTGCATGGGCCCCTACACCCCACAGGTACCCTCTGCTGGTGCCCAGGTGTGGCACCCACACCGCCCTGGGGAGAGAAGGCAGCACCTCCCTCCCTGCCTCTGCTGAGCCCCTGCACGCTGAGCTGAGCACACAAAGCCATGGGGCCAGGACCTGCACTGCTCTCCTCACACTCACACTCACACTCACACACTCACACTCACACTCACACTCACACTCACACTCACACTCACACACTCACACTCACAGCCCAGCCCTCATCTGCTCCCCCTCTGCTCGCCAAACGGGCTCTGCAGTGACCCTGAGGGCTGGGAGGAGCCCGGAGCCCTGGAATTCAGGATATTCAGGATTCCTTGTCTGCTGGTCCAGGGCCAAAACCTGCTGTTCCAAGTGATCAGTGTGAGCCAAGGTGTGAAAATCTCAGACTTGAGTCCAACTCCAAAGTCTTCCAAGGCTTTTTGTTTTTCTCCTCAGGGCAGTTTTGTGCCACTGTGACCCCAGTGAGCAGGGACAGGGACTGAAACGCTGGGAGTTCAGAGCCACGCTGCCATTTCTGCCACACCTCTGAGCCTGCCGAGTCCCAAACCTCTGCTCTGAGCAGCATCTGAAGTCTGAGCTTATAAAAAACTTTCTGCTTTTTCACCCAAGGACTTTGGCATTGATTGGCAAGTGAACAACAGAGGAGGAGGCTGCACTTTCAGTCTCCCATCGATCTTGCATGTGTGTGATTTATCTCACAGGACATCCAAGCTCCTCTTGCACACACAGCAGCTCCACTGCTGCTTTTTAGCAGCAGCCCTGTGGGAAAGCCTTGCCCAGGTGTGCAGGACCAGAGCACAGCCCTGGAGCATCCCTGAGCCAAGCCTGGGCTGCTCCCAGCTCAGGAGGGGCTGAGATCCTCACTCCCAGCACCTGCAGCCAGGGATGGAGGCACCTGTGGGACTGCAGGGGCCTGGGGGAGCACAGGGGCTGGGGACAGGAACACAGAACCTCACACCCTGCCACTGAAGGGAATCAGCTCGATCACGGTGGGGTCTGCATTCGTGGTAAAAAGTGATTTATTCTGATGCTGAAATTCAACCAGATGAAGCTCTGGATTATTTCCCCTGTCTACTGGTTTATGCCATTTCCCTGAGGTGGAAAAATGCTCTTTGCCAGTAATTCATTATAAATGCCCCAGCCATTCCCATTAGCTCCAGCAGGTCTGCACTGCACTGCTCAGTATTAAAATATGCACAAACTTCTCTCCAACTCACCAAAACCAATTCTTGAATCGCTCTGAGAATTTAATCACATTGCAGTTCTCTTGGCAATTATCAACGTGTATGCTTCACACAATATTTACTTTCTGTGCAGGTCCCAAACTTAGAGGTGACAGTTTATTTTACATGCACAGGACAATGTCACTGAATGCTGTCTGAGGGTAAATTACAGGTACAGCTCTGCTCTGCTTTTATACCAAAGGGCTCCTTGAACCCCTGCTACCTCTGCACCAGCAGAGGGGAAATGGCAAAACAAAGCCACGTACAGCAGCAATATTCCATCAGGAGCACTGGACATGCCAGAAGAGTTGGCAAAGCAGCACAAACACATCCCAGAGCAGCTGAGAGCCCGGAGTGCCCAGGAGAAGCCGCAGGGCTGGGTGAGGGATGGGCACAAACACAGGAACCCCGAGCCAGACAAGACTGGCCAGAGCTGAGCAATGAGCAGCACATTTTTAATTACCCTGTTTAAGGACCCAGGATAAACCAGCCCTAAATCCCCTGCAGTGGAATGGTCTATAGGAAAAATGTGCATTTCACTGACAATCATTGCCTGATGTGAAAACCTCTCCAGGATGGCTCATGGCAAATGTATGGCTGGAGGTTCAGGGGCTGCTTTTTAAACTCTGCATTTTGGGCTGCTCCAGCCTCTGCAGAACACCCAACTCCTTCAGCTCCATCCCCTTCCCCTGAAGGAACTGCACTCAGCTCTGATCACCGAGAGCCTCCTGGGGCTCATCCCCACCCCTTCAGTGAGAAACAAGAGCTCCAGGACCGTGTGTGAGACAAACTCATCCTTAGCGTGGCTCCACTCTCGTTTAAGACAACAACTCACACAGGAGTTCACAGGAGGTGACACCTGAGGAGCCAGGTGTGGCAGGCATGGGGCGTGTGAAAGATGTGGTCATGCACAGGAAGGAAAAGGAGATGAAATAAAAGCCCCTAAAGCACAAAGTGATTCATGAGTGGTGATGTAAGGCAGGGCCACGGCACTGCTGGAGTCATCCTGCAGCAGCAGGGCAGGGCTGAATCAAAGCTGTGCTCTCCTCCCGGGGAAAGGATGCTCCCCACCCGCAGCTGGGCTCCAAGGAGCTGCCAGCAAAGTGCCCCAACAAAGCCCTGGGGTGGCCCCAGTGCCACAGCACCCGTGGCTTTGGGCAGGAGCCCAGATGGGAGCTCTGTGCCATGGTCCTTCCCTTCCTGCAGGCCACACGTGGCTGTGCTCCTGTAACACACGCAGACAATTGCAGATTTGGTTTAATAGTTTATCTTCCTTTTGCTTGCCTGAATGGCTGCCTTGTCCCCGAGGAGCTTTTATCATTACATTACAGATCTTACTTTTGCTCCAACTGACAGATGCTGCAAACTATCCATAAAGTCTGTCAGGCAGCTGCAGAGATGTGCTCTGTGCAGATTGATGACACATCACTGATCCCCCCTGGAGAAAACCCAGCCCTTCCCGAGGGGGCCACACTGCAGCTGCCTCTGGGGCAGGCACCTGGGTCCCCTCTGCTCACACAGGAATGACACCAGAACCAAACACGAGACAGAGACCACAACAGTCCCTCTCCTCATTAAACTGCTTCCCCAGTGCTGATTTCATTTCTCTGCAGCTCTCTGCCACACTTATCTCCAATTCCAGTGCCTTGCTGTTTCCTCTCCTGCTCCAGGAGCCTGGCAGTGTTCTGTGGGGCTTTTGCACTTGATCAATGCCACGGTGCCATCTGTGTGCTCCTGACAAACCCCATGGAGGAGCACAGCCCTGCAGGGCCTTTGAGACCCCCAGGATGTGTGGATGGATGTCACTCACTGGGCTGATCTGCTCCCCAGAGTCCCTGCAGGCTTCCCTGGAAAGGTGAGTGGAGATCAGCCGAGCTCCCCTGGGACTCATTTACAGAGCCCGAAATGCAGAGTTCATTTCCCATGCAGACTGTCACACTGCATGCCCTGCTGAAAGCACCATTATCAGCTAAAGAAATGCTGGGAACACTTGAAAAATCATGCTGGAACTGGATTTCTGGCAGCCTGAAGCAGGGGAGATGCTCCCCAGCAGCCCCTGCCCATTCCCTGGGCTCACTGATGGAGCCAGAGCTGGTTTTTCCTCTGAGAGATTCTTGTGATTATTGCCAAGAACACAGCAACCCGAGCAGAAGGCAGCAGGGGATAAACACAACATTATTGAGAACTTGGGTGACAATTTCCCTTAGAAAAGTAGATCAAAATCAAGTGGACACCTGTCTTTGTGAAGAGTGTTTAAGAGCACGAGTTTGGGAAACCACACAACAAAAGTCTGTCTGAGGCCTTGCCAAGCCCAGCAAGTTCAAGAAGATTAAAAAAATAAATGTAAGAAAATAATTGTCTAATGAGGAAACAAAAATGACCACTGTTACAAAGGGGGAAATAGAGAGGTGTCACAGTTAATTTTGCAATGACACAAACTATGAATTCAAAGGTATTGAAGGATTCAAGGGAGACACAATCCATGGGAACATAACCACGTCAAGAACGACCCTTAACCAATGCAAAGAATAAAAGTTACAACCCAGGTGAATCTCAGGGCTCTGCCTGAGATGCACATCGAGCCAAAAGCTGCACTTCCCCTAAAGCAGGGTGAGAATCTGCCCCTTCTCCTCCCAGCCAGGGCTGCTCAAGGGATCCTCATCCCCTCAGGGGAGCTCAGGGCTGTGCCAGGGCAGCAGGGAGTGCCCAGAGCTGGGCACAGCCCTGCCCTGAGAGCCAGGGGAGACTCCTGCAGCACCCAGGGCACAAACCCCAAAGACAAACCCCAATGACAAACCCCAAAGACAAACCCCAAAGACAAACCCCAATGACAAACCCCAGTGACAAACCCCAGTGACAAACCCAGGGAACAAACCCCAATGACAAACCCCAATGACAAACCCCAGTGACAAACCCCAAAGACAAACCCAGGGCTCCTCTGCTCCTGCTCTGACACAAGAGCACAAAATATGCAAAGCTGCCCCTGCTCCCAGCTGTCAGGATTGCAAAGTAAATGGGAGATTTGAATAAGTTTGCTTAATTTTTATCAGGATTAAGGGAATCATTTGTTGTAGATAAAAGAATACACTTTCCTTTATTTTCCTCCTTGAGAAAAATCTATTAATACTGCATAATTAAAACTCCTGAACTTGTTCCAGCTAAATGTTCTTAATTGAAATATGGTCTATTTTTAACTATTTTTTTTAATAAAACTACTGTCTGCTCTCGTGAGAAACGTCACTGAAAATTATTAACTGACATTTGTCACCCAAACGACTGATAAAGCTGCTCTTTACTCTCTCACCTACTGGAAGCCATGAAATTTCTATTTGAAAATTCTGGCTAAACAACAACAACAAAAATTTCCTTTCTCGAATTGCTTTTATTTACAGCAATAGATTCTATAGGAAGACACAAACCCTGCTCATGTCTGGGTGTGTGACACCAAAGTTGTCCCTTGCCCTCAGTGCCCACGAGATGGGGTCCCTTCTGTTTGGGGTTTTGGCTCAGGGCTTTTTGTATTTCAGGATTATCCAATTCAGCTCCCTTTGATTCCACACATGCCCAGGGTTCCTGATGGCAAAGATCCAGAGAGCAGAAGCAGAATGTCCCAGCACTGCTGCCCAGCCTCTCTTTCATGGGTTCTCAGCAGAAATTATTCATTCCCCACAGCTCCCCCAGCCCAGAATGCAGGTGTTTACTTACTGATGTGTACAGGTATCCTTCACTGTTCATGGCCAGGTATAATTTTGTCTGAACCCCCTGGATTGCCACCACTCGTAGGCCCACAGGGATGAGGTTAAACAAAGCTGGGAGAGAAAGATGGAGAGCAGAATTAAAGCTGTGGAGAGAAAACAAAACCACAATCCCCAGCACCAAATCACAAATGCCTGCTCATGCATATTTTCATTTCTGGGGGTGCTGCAGGGCAGTCCTTCTGCCATCTCGTGCTTCCCCAGCGATTTTCAGAAATGATCTGAGGGCATCAGGGCCTCTCCTGCAGATGGGAACTGCTGGCAGCCAAAAGAATTGATCTCTGGGCTTTGTTAGGCTGGTTCTCTTTTGCCATTAACTGCAAATTCTTTTGCCATTAAGCAAACAAACAAAAAAACTTTCAAGACAATCAAAACTTTTTTTTTTCCCAAGTCAGTAAACATTTTGGCCAAAAGGAAGGAAGAAGATGAAATTCAGAAAAGCTGAAAACCATCATTAGCATCTCAAAATGTTTCCACTTATAACTCATTGGGGTTTAATTTCTTCTCTTTTATAGAGGAGAATGGGTTTGAAAAAACAGAGTTAAATAACTTCAAAACGAAATGAAAGGGCAGCATATTCTTTAGATCAACCCCTGAATCTGTGCTTTCAGAACTGCTCTGCTTTCAATGTTCTGCTTGCATTTCTGCTTGTACACATGCTAATAGTGCAGGATTTATGAGCACAGAAACAACTCTTCAAAAAATGAAGATTCTGCTTTGCAAAGTGGCAAACAAAGAAAATAAAAAATAAATAAAAGCAAAGCTCTGCCACAGCTTGGGTTCAGGGATATATTAAAATTGAACACAAGAAATAAGGAGTTGAATACAGTACTCTGTGCTCAATATGTAGGATTAAAAATAAAGGAGAGTTAAGAAAATTATCATAACCCAAAGCATCTCCTTCCACTCTGTAGTAGAAATCAGAGACAGGATAAAGTGATGCCAAACACTTCTCATTTCCACTGATTTATCACTTGGCTGAAAAACTCTGGCTTCAGGCAGAGGCTTGATATTTATGGTCACTGTCTAAAGCCAATTTAAAATCAAATTATGAATTTGAAATATTTTTATTATTTTCAACATTATGGCTACGAATTATGACCCATTATAAATTCCTTTTTCAGCCTGAAAACTCCTAAATGGTCATATTTTAGTAAAAAAAATAAAATATATATATATATAGCTTGACAGCATTTAACAGAGATCCCAAATTCTGCCTTTGGGGCTGTAAGAGCACATGGAGTGTCTGAGGTCGGGGCACCTCTGCACTGTGGCCAAACAGAGCAGGAAAGGGGGAAATATCCAGAGGTAACAAATAAATGCATCAAAGCTCTTTTTCCTTCCCTTTCATAGGCAGGAGGGCACCTGCAGACACAAACACACACACACAGAGCCTGCTCAGCTCACCTCCAGCCCAAAATCATCCACTTCCAGCCCAAAATCACCCACACCCAGCCCAAAATCCACATAAAGCCCAAAATCTACATCCAGCCCAACATCACCCACACCCAGCCCAAAATCCTCCACACCCAGCCCTTCCCTTCACTCAGAATTCCTGGTTCTGTGCAGCTTTGGGCTGAAGAAATCTGGATTTTCAGTCAGGGGAATGGATTTTTCATTCATTCCATGAAATTATTCTATCAAACAATCCAGAGCAATTTGCATCCTCCCCTTTCCCAATGCCATTTGGGCTGTTTCCAGTAAGGATGAGGATATCCATGGCAAAGAGCAGCCCAGCAGTGCCTGAGGGAGGGATGATCTCTGCCAGGGTCCTCGTGCAGTCTGAGGTGACAGAAATGAAGAGGCAGCAGGCACAGCTGCCTTTGGGAGCACAAACATTTCTGTGAGCCTTGCCTGGGCCACTGCACCTTTGTCCACTGTCACTGTTCCCACACTGCCTCATTTTACCAGTCCTGAAACCTTCCTGTCTAGCTGTGTGAGACCCTTGAGTATTTTTCACACACCCAATCAATGCCCTAATCATCTTTTCCTGTTTTCTGTTAATCCTCAGAGTTGTTAAAAAAAAAATTAAAAAAAAAAATCCAAAACCAACAAGTAAAAATCCCCAGAAAACCTGAGGGAAAGCTGCCTGAAAGTTGATGGCACCATTTAGAAGAGGTAATAAATAATAATAATAATTGGGAAATGTGAAGTTGAAAATGGTGCTGAAGCCCCAGTTAGTGGAATAGCAGGGTGCTGTTGAATGAGCCCGTGTGAGAGTGGAGATAGTGTTCTTCTATTTCAGGCTCTGAGTAGGCAAGCAAATTTTCCCTGCCGAAAAAAAAAAAAAAATCTAATAAAATCCAAAGGACAGCAATGAACTTCTCTGGATTACCATGGAGATAACATTTGCTTTGTTTGTCACATGTGTCATCGTTACCTCCCCTAGTTCATTACTTCTCTAAGTGGTTTTTGTCTGTGTTTCTCCAGAGCCAGCAGGTCTGAAGGGCTCTGTGCTCAGCCCAGGACAGGGACAGGACACCACAACCCACACACACACCACTGACACTCGTGTCACTTACTATAACTACTGTCCTCCTCCTTTGTTCCATCAATTGTTCCATCTGCTTGCAACTGCAAGTGGAATCCTTGCCTGCTGTACAGCTTTGTTACTATACCTTTAAGCTGAGGCTCTGCAAAGAAACAACAGTGAGATTAATGTGGGAAATCCTGGTGTGCTGCTCCAAGCCAGCAGGACGTGCAAAACAAATCTTCAGGTTTCTTCTCAAGGCTGAGGTAAGAAAAAGACCCAAACCAAGAGCAGGGCTACCAGCTTGGCAACACTTTTCATTTAGGCTGAGATCAAATTAATGTCCGTGAAATCAATTGGCAGAATGATTAAATGGCACTCTCGATTCCAGCGTGAGTAGCACAGTGAAATCTGCTTCCAGGGAATGCAGATTCCAGCAGGGCTGCCTGGCCCCAGCAGCCCAGCCCTATCTCACTGCAGATTAAAAATGAGCTGGCACAGAGCACATCCAGTCTTTTAAAAAGGTGTGAGTTCTTAGATGGAGAGGAAAAAGAAGACAATTACAACAGCATTAATAAGAGCCACAGTGACAGCAGAGAGCCTCAATGTACAGCAGCAAACGTCTAGCACAGGAACTGCTGCAGCTCCAATAAACAAACCCCCATTGCTCACTGCTCCAAAGAGTACAGAGATAAACTACTCAATGAACATATGGAAAATGGAGAGGGAAACCCTGAAATGCAGCAATGTGTGGAACTGCAAAATAAATATTACCATAAGGACTGAGGTAATTACCTCATCAGCTAGAAGAAGAAAGATCAAAACAACGCACAGTTTGGAGAGATTTCTTTTCTCCCAGAACCATCCCCAGCCTCACAGCTAGAAAGGGAGATGTCACACAAATCCACATCCCTGCAGCCCAAAGGCACAGAGCAGCAGGGCGTGCTGTCCAGTGTGCCACTCCGGCTATCTGGCTAGAGCATCACGAGGGGTTGCAAGGAACGTGTGCATGCACTGCATGCCAATGACATCTGCATTGTAGCCTTTGACACAGCTCTGCTTCTCAGCGGCTCCTGCAGCTCCTCCACAGCGTCCCGGGCTCCTCAGAGACAAAGCCTGGGAGGATGTGGGGTGTCACTGCCAGCTCTGCCTCTGCACGGGGCTCCTTGTGCACTGGGAGCTCTGCTACTGCACCCCATTTCAGCAAGAGCTTACAACAGTTTGCATGAGTGTAGTAGATCTCACCAGCAACTTCGATAAGAGTCCTCATGGACACACAGCTCCTACCTACCAACTTTGCCGAGCAGAAATTACCCCACCCCTCACTTTCAGCCATACCCCATCCCAAAGCCGCTGCCAAAGTGGGAGCAAGGCAGAGGTGGAGTGGCCAAAGCATCGATGCTCAACCCAGCAAAGCCACGGCAACATTGCCAGAGGGTTTTGCTCCTCCCACACACAAAACAATCCACTCGGAGCAGGACCCAGCGCTCACGGCTGCTCCTGTGACCCAGAGCACCTCGTGCCCACGGGGCAGCTGCAGGTGTGGCATTCCTAGAAAGGCACGGGGCGCTGGCAGGGGCCAGCAAAAGCACAAAGCCTCGTCTGCAACCAGGTGATAAAGCACGGCACGGGCATTGTGTGAAGCAGGACACCAAAACCAGATCTCCAGAGCACAAAGTTATTTAACACACAACTGAGAGAAGTGTGGGACCTTCCCCGCCAGCATCTCCCCCACAAACACAGCGCTGTGTGTTCACGTGTGCCACACAGGGACAGACAGCCAGCACAGGTACCTGGGCGCACACAGGTGTGTGCAGGTGGGGCACAGGCAGCACTCTGTGCTCCCCACATCAACCAGACGGCCAGAGCAGGGGAAAGGGCTGCCAGGGACACCCAGAGAGCCCGGCCAGGACTGGCAGCACCTGCAGGTCCATTGTGGGAGCGCTGAGACACCGTTCCCCCTTCCCACACCCGGCACACATCCCAGCTTCCAGCACATCCCATCCCATCCCATCCCACACCAACCCACGCCCCAAACACACAACCCCTGCCAACCTGGTCGCCTCCTTCGCCTTTTCTTGGAGCCAAAGAGTTTGACCCTGGAGAACACATTGAGCTTGTTCTTGTCGCAGCTGCCCTTGCTCTTGCTGGGGCTGCTGACACACTTGCAGGCATTGGACTTCTCGCGCTCCCTGGCCTGTCTCTTCTGGCGGATCAGGGAGCTGGCGATGGCTGCGGCCATGGCCGCCACGGCTCAGGCACGCGGGGGGCGCTGGCCAGCCCTGGCCAGCATGCTGCTCGCTGTCCCCAAGGCTGGGGACACTGCCCGACAGCCTGGCCCACGCCAGCACCGCCGGCCAGCCCGGGGCGCGCCGTGGGAACGGCCACCAGAGCCCCCGGCTGGGCACCCAACTCTTGAGCTCGAGCGCTTTCGTCCTCTGCGATCTTCCCCCTTTCGGCTTCCCGGTGCTCTTCTGTTGCTCCCAACTTCTAGCAGGGGGAAGTTTGCCGGCAGAGGTGAGCGTTTCTACGGACAGCGCGCAGATCCCTCGCAGGACATCCCTCCGGGCTGCTCCCGACGCGCTCGGCACGCAGACACGGCGCTCGCACTGGGCGCAGGATCATCGCATCGCTCCCAGCCCCGACTCCTGCACGGAACTTTTCTCCCCACCCGTGCCCTCCCCACTGAAATCCCAGCAAACACCTGTTGGACTCCAGCAGGGGCTGTGCACTTGCGGGATTTTCTGGATCCTTTTTCCTCCTCTCTTCAGGCGAGCCCCGCAGCAGCTGGAGGCGCTGGGCTGGCTGCGGATGCCCGGCCTGGGGAAGGCTCTGCCAGGTGAGCTCGGCTCCCGCTCCGCAGCACTTGCAGCAGGTAAACAGGCGGCTCCGGGCCGGGGCTGCAGCAGCAGCAGGAGCAGCAGGAACAGCAGCAGGAACAGCAGCAGCACCAGGATCCCTCCGGCAGCGATGCAGGCACCGCGCACTCCCCACGAGCCGTGCGCTGGGTACAGAAATGAGGCGACGCAGCAAACCCTGATCAGCGCCTCCTCCTCCTCCTCCTCCTCCGTGCCTCCTCCTCCTCCTCCCGCTCGTCTCCAGACGCGGCGGCGAGCGGGGAGCGCAGAGGGGCGAGCGGGGAGCGACGAGCGGGGAGCGGCGAGCCCTGCCCGGCGCTGCGGGGCCACGGCGGGGAGGGGGCTCGGGGCGGGCAGAAGAGCGGCCCCGGGCGGGGGTACCGGGGGAGAGGATGCCCAGGGGCGGGGGTACCACAGGAAGGATGCCCAGGTACCACAGGAAGGATGCCCGGGGCGGGGGTACCTGCGGCGCTCGGAGCCGCCTCCCGGCAGCGCAGACACCCAAACAGACGTGACTGCGGTGAGCAAACAGCCCCGCCGGCAGCGGAGCCAGCACACCTGGCTGCCAGCAGCGCCGGGGCTCGGGGCAGGCGGGCACTGCAGCCACAGCTCTCCCTTGCCATTCCCTCATCCCTACACCGTGTCCCCTCTCTGCCCCAGGGATTTCCTGGGGGCTTTTTGCCTCTCTCGCCGCTCCTTTCCACCGCCCGCTCTCAGCTCCAGTTTTGTAGGAAATCCTCAGAAAGAACAATTTCCTTGTCGCTGCCACATTCTCCCTTTTGTCCCCGCACGGTGCCTGTGTGTCCCCCAAGGCCAGGCTCTCCTCCAGGCCGGGTTTATTCCCCCAGCTCGGGGGTACCAGGGCAGCAGAGCCGCGCTGGACAGAGCTGGCACCGCGCTGTGCCCGGTGCCCTGCGGTGGGACCGAGCCCGCACACAGCCGGGACACGGGACACACCCGGGATAGGGGACACACCCGGGATATGGGACACACCCGGGACACGGGATACAGGACACGGGAGCTCCTGGAGATCCCTTTGCACCCACTCCCTGCTCTTGAGCGTGCTGTCAACAGCTGGAGCTTAAATCAAACCAGCTCAGGCTGGGAATAAAGCAGAGATCTGCAGCCCCGGAGGCAAACAACTCTTGAGAGAATTTATCCCGAGGCAGGGGAGGTTCACAGGCACTGAGGATGGGTGGGATGGCCCTGAGAGCTGGCTCCAGGCGGAGCTGAGCCCTGCGATGGCAACAGGCTCCTGTCACCCAAGTGTCACCAGGGCTGGCAGTGCATCCCCCGTGCCCTGTGCCAGCTCTCCTGGGCCCCACAGACACCAGGGAAGGCTGGGCTGGTGGCACAGCACCAGGGTCCTCATGTGCTTCCAGACTCACCCAGGCTTTGAGGGAATCTGCCCCTTCTCCTCTCCTCCAGGTGCCCTCGGCCAAACCCGTGCTGTCCTGTCTGTGTCACGCACTGGGACTGCCCTGGCACGAGCAGCAGAGGCTGGGCTGGCCCAGCACCTCCACAGCTCAGCTCAGGGGCTTTGCTGTAATTCTGCCACCACCACAGCCCTTCCCTGGGCTGGGCACAGCTCATGGCAGATCCACACCCCCCTCCCCTGCCCGGGCATCCCTGCCCTGCTGGAAGCTGGGACAGAAAGTGCCCACCCTGAGCAGTGCCCAGGCTGTGACAAAGTGCCCAAAGTGCCATCCTGAGCCATCCCCAGGGTGTGACAAAGTGCCCAAAGTGCCCACCCTGAGCAGTGCCCTGTGTGTCCCTCCCAGCCGAGTGTGAGCCTGGCACACACACAGACACACACAGACACACACAGACACACACAGACACACACAGACACACACAGACACACGGACACCCACACCCACACCCACAGGCTTTTGGAGGCAGCCCATACACACAATATTAAACCAATACTCCTAATTCCTTATTTCAGTGTAAGAGCAGGGTGAGAAGAGCTGCCATTCACAAGCTGCAGCACCACCCTGGTGTGCCAGTCCACACAAGGCATGTGAAAGCCAAGGCAGGAGCAGCTGGGTGTTATCAGCAATAGCTCATCCCCCTCAGCTCACCATGGGTTTGCCATCCTTCCACTCCCAGCACAGCCATGAGTGAGACTTGGTTTTTTTTCCTGAGACTCACCCATTACTTTATAAATATTCCCAAATTGGAAGGCAGCGTTTGATCTTCAGATCAAAGTGAAGCTGCCTCATTGTGATCTGTCCCACAAGGTCACAAGACGTTGCATTTTCCCAGAGACTAACCAGAACTCAGAATCCAGCTACCCTTGAAAATCCCGGGAAAAGCAGTATATAAAAGCACTATTTGGGATATCTTTCTGCCAGCAGTCCAGCCTGCATGCTTAAAATCCATAATGAAAATTCATTTGCACAAATGTTCCTTGACAGATAACTAAAGAGAGGAACAAAAATAGCATATATGCATAATCAGATTTAAGTTTCAAAAAACATTCCTCCAGTTTTTTTTGCATGAGCAACCTCTTCATCTATCGGCACTCCTACAAACATGTCTTCATTTACTATAAATGGCACATGAAAATGAAGATCTTGTTGGGAAAATGTCTTTGGTACAAGACCAGCCTTTGGACTACTTCAGTGTTCCAGACAGAAAAATCTCAAGGAACAGCTTTATTTTCTTTGAAAAGCAAGAGCTGTTCAGTCCCCACCAAGCTAAAAAGGTAAAATAAAATAAAACTACATTCCAAGTGACTTTTGAACGTAGAAGGCAACCAGACATTCCTTGAACACTCATTGCCTCTCCTTGTTTATGATTATTGCAGTGGGGCCATCAAAGCTAAGGGGTTCAGTGACAGTGCCACTGAAATCCAAGAGAAAGCAGCATGGGACACACTTGTCCAGCCTGCCAGGGACAGTGCCAGCACCTCCCTGCAGCTGCCAGCTGACCACAGCAATGCCACTGCTTTCAGCCAGGCAAAGGTCTCACCCCCTCTGGATTGATGGCTTTCCCTCCCAGCCACGTGCTGAGTGTTTGCTGAGGATTATTTCCCTGGTTCTGATCACTGCCATGTGCTCAAACCTTCAGAATTTGCCTGGCTGGGGCAGCAGCAGAGCCTGAATTTGGCAGCCAGGCCAGGGGTGGCTCTGGGGCTGAGGCAGGGCAGGTCTCCAGCAGCACAGAGCAGCAGCCCCTGCCTGGCCCCTGCACTGGGAGCCACCAGAGCCCCAGCACTGGCCCAAGTGCAGGCAGGGCTGGCTGTGTCAGGGAACGAGAGCCAAGTGCCAGAGTTCTGGTTTTCCTCTGTGCTCTGGCAGGTCCCACTGCTGCCTGCTCTGAGCTTGGGTCTATCCTGAGCACAGAACATTTCCAGGCTGCCCCATCTCATGCTGAGCAAAACAAAAACTGAGACCAGCTGAGAAACACCAAGGCAGCAGCAGAGCTGGCTGCCATGGGAGCAGCTCAAGGACAGACAGACAGACAGACAGACAGACCCCACTGTGCAGCATGTCCATGGTCAGGGCAGCCCTGAGCACAGGGATTCCTTCCCCCAGGGCTCCTCAGTGACCTGAGCCCCAGGTGAGACCTGAGGGCACCCACGCTGCTCTGAGCCCTGGGAGCAGCAGCAATGCCCAGGACAACGAAGCAGAACTGACTTCCAGCACCCTGGGTCAGAACATCCCATCCTCAGACCAAACTCAGTTGGTTATTCTCAGCACTCTCAGTTATTTCCTCTTCCTCTATAGAAAAAGTATTATAAGATTTGTAGTAGACCCTATACAAACTAACAGTGTTTGGGAAAAAAAAAAAAGCTGCATCAAAATCAGACCAGAAGAAAAAATCCCAAGCCAGCTCCAAGCCTCTCTCAGTCCATCTGAAACCCCAAACCACTCCTCTACAGTTACAAGCTTGAAGCTGCTTTGGTGTGACAAAAACAAATCAGCCTGGCACTGGGTGTCAGGAGTCCCTCCTGAGGCTCTTTTTTCTTGCTGTTACAGAAAAAGTAGGAAAAAAAAAGCTTCAAACATCAAACCTATGGACTATTTCCACTGCCTACTCTCTCCAAAAGTAGAGCATTATTTTCTGAAAAGCACCACCAGAATCCTGTCTCTCTTTTCAGGATGAGATAAACAAGACTTCCTCCAGTCAGGGATGACACAGCAGCACTGAGGCCCCGGCGGTTTTTGCTCTCCTAAATAAACAGAATTACAATTCACCAAGAAGCAGAGCTGCTCAGAGCCCAGTCCTGCATCACTGCTCTGGGAAATATCCATGGAAATGACTCAGCTTTGCTCTGCAGCCAGCCCCAGGCTGGGCAGGGCTGGGGGCTCAGGGATCTGTACCTCTGCTGGCCCCTGTCCCCCCCGAGCCTGGCTTTAACCAGCCAGGCTTAAACAAACAGCATCAGCCTGGCTTTAACCAGCCAGGCTCAAACAGAACTCAGCCTGGCTTTAACCAGCCAAGCTCAAACTCAGCCTGGGCTTTGTGCTGAGGGCAGGTGAAAAAAGGTCTTGGTGGAAGCTCCAGCC